AATTTGGTCAATTAATATTAGTGATATATCATAAAAAATATCTTGATCGGGCACGAATCTCGATGGAAAATCAAGTTGAAATTTTCAAAAATTAAATTGGAGACCATCTAAACTCTGATTTCAGCAAACTTAAATTCGAACTGAACGTCTCAAAAATACGAACCCAACGACACTAAATTCGACTCAATCCGAGCCCAAATGAGTCCAAATCCAAGACTCGAAGCATATTTAGAAGGTTCAAACCATAATTTGGATTACCAAATGATTTTCAAACATGACATGCTTACAGTCCATCTGGAGGGCTTCATTCCCTCCTCATTTGGGCTGCGCCAGGGGTGTCCCCTCAGCCTTCTTGATACTATAACTAACAAGCTTTCGGATTGGAAAGCAAAGTCTCTCTCGTTTGCAGGTAGGCTACAATTTTTGAGGTTCACTATATGGAATACTATTGCCTATTTGATTCACGGGACAATTATACCTAAAACTTATTACAAGCATATTGCTAAGCTCTCAGCATAATTCTTGTTTTTTTGCTGATATTGAGGCTAGAAAGCTTCATCTGGTCTTTTGGGCTAACACGTGTAAACCAAAAAAAATAAGGGAGATCTTGGAATTTATGTTTTACATGCTATTCGATATGCTTATGACTGTTCACTGATTCTTAGAATTTAAAATTGGCCATCTCCACTTTCAACTTGGTATTTATCCAATTACTGCTCCCCTTGAAAACCTTCCCCTATGTCCTCTTCAGCTATGTTGAAAAGTATTTGTAATATTGGTATGAGAGTTGAATCTAATCTTTTATTAAAAATCACAGATAACTGTCCCATTAGCTTAAAATGGGACCACTGGTGTAATGGTCTTTGCATACAAGAGCTTCCCTATCACCATTCCCTTAATAGTCTATTCCCGATTATTGCGCGTTTGGATGCTATCTATGAGTATGAAGAATGGAATATTCCGGCTAATTGTTCTGATAATATTCAGACTCTTATATGCTCTATTCCTATTATTTCTGGTGGTCGGGACAAATGCTTATCCTGGGATTCTGGTGGCACTTATAAATTTGGTAATTTTATCCAAGATTACCACAAACAAGATGGTGAGGCCTTATGGAGTAATTTTGTATGGCATAAACACTTTGCTTTATGATTTTCAATATATGATTGGTTGTATTTTGTTGGTGGGTTGAAAACTTCTAATGCCTTGCGTAAAAGAAATATTGATGTGGATCCACAATGCATTTTCTGCCACTATTGCCCAAAAAGTGTTTCCTATCTGTTTTTTGAGTGTGATTATACTTTCTACATCATTACTAGACTGCTTCCAACTTTAAATTTTTTTCTTATGAGGCCAAACTTAAGCCAGATTATTGAATTTCTCTCTGATTGTGGCAATTCTGGTTCTAGAAGCTTGTCTTTTAAATTGTTGATCCTTTGGGCTGCTGTTTACACCATTTGGAGGGAGAGGAATGAGCAAAATTTTTTCAATTGTTTCAAAAGTATTACGATCATTCAAGCTCTGATTAAAAAGGTGGTTGTTATTAAACTAAATAGATGGAAAAAATGATGGAAATACATGGCCCTTACGTAGTTTTTTATGCGAGTCCTTTTGGTTTCTCGGCAATGTTGTGCATTTGCTATATTTCATTGAACGGTGGAATTTATTCGAGTATCTGTTTGTGTTTGTGTTTTTGGCTGGGGGCGATGATGTGCAGAATCCATCCTCCCCCTGGATGGTGAATTTTGCAACTTTTTCCTATTTGACGGCATTTTTGGCAACCGGGGGTTCGTGCCTTCTTGAGGATGTTTTTTCTGATTTATCCTGAGCCCGCATATGGAACAACACCATCTGCTCTGGGGTTTTTTTGGCTTCTTGGCTGGTGTTTAACTCCTCCCAAGTTGGTTACGCTGAGGATCTATTTATTCCAGTCTGCTTCTTATTGTTATCTCTCTTTAAACAGGTATAATTTTTGGCACTTTTGGTGCTCCTCTTCTTGTTGCCCTTAGCAGCTCTTTCTCACAAATTTGTTCTTTTTGCTTCTTTTACACATGTAACTAGTTTCATTCATTAATGGAATTTCGGCTCTGCACTACTTTTCTCAAAAAAAAAAAAAAAAAAAAAAATTTACCAAAAAAAAAAAATTGTCCTTCTCTGAATAGAGAGAGGGAGGAGACGGAGCGTGGGGGTTCAGTTTAAACTAGTCCAACCGAATCCTATCTCATATCTCAAATTTAAAAGTAATTAGATTTAATTTAATATTTTTAGTATATAAAATTGATTTAAATTATATAATAACAATTTACGAGCTAGCTCGCATTAAATCTTTCTCTTCGTCGTGTTTTATTGAGGGTCACTTTTTATTTAAATTTTTTTAAAGTAAATTATTTTAATATGACATAATTAAATCTATTTAAATTTACCATTTTTAATGGTTCCATCCCATCTCGAGATAGGCTACATAGCATTGGTCGAACTCGTCGATTCCAGATTGAAGTCAACTTGAACTCAATTAGGCTCGACAATGTTCGATTGATTATTACATTCCGAATTACACTAGATTTGGATTGAATTAGCTATGATTTGGGTTGAGTAACATGGTTTAATTAGCTCTACGTCAATGGGTACCTAAGGGGATTCTAAAGGTGACTTCTACACTAGGCTACGAAGACCTATGCATTAGAGATGAGTTTCGGGGGAAAATTGACCTGAAATAATGAGGTCAACAACAGCAACTCATTTTTTTTTCTACAAGTTGTAATTTATATTGTAACTCGCTAGTGCAAAAAAAATCATTGAAAAACTAATAAGCTTTATAAAACATGAGACATAAGCCTAATAAGTAACCTCATCACTTTACCACTTATGTCCAATGGAAAATGTTAGATGTTCAAGATTTTGAGACCATTATCAGCTAAGCAACAATCACCTCACCATCTTTAAGATGGCCCATTTCATTATGACGTCAACATATAATAGTAAAAAATAGTAGCTGATCTGCCTAAATTGACCAATGCCCACATCATCATAGATGAATATAAGTTTGTGATTTTGAATTAAACCTTTAAACCACCTTTTAACCAAACTTATCGAGGATCCTTGCCAAGCTGTCTATGAGTTGTCTGGATGTCCCTATATATAAAGGTCATCTAAAATAATTTATTTTTCATGAAATATTTCACTAGATTCAAAATGATTGTACTGATGTGACTAAAATATTCATTTGTCTTGATCAAACATATTTTGAGCGCCATTCCTCTTTACCTTATTTAAACATCACTTCCTCCTAAGAAAATTATTCATAATCATAGTATTTTACTAAAAATATTCCTTTGGTTAAATATGGATGATAGTAGATAAACCTAGGGGTGTCAATTTCGCATCACGGGTCGGGTTCGGGTCGAACCCGAAACTGACCCGGCACTATTCCTAGGGGTGTCAATTTCGCATCACGGGTTGGGTTCGGGTCGAACCCTAAACTGACCCGGCACTATTTGGGTCAACCTGAACCCGACCCGTTTTTGAAAACGGGTCAGTTTTCTTGACCCGAACTCGTCCCGCTTCGGGTCCGGGTCAACCCGACACGACCCAAATGACCTGTTTCCAACAAAAAAATTGCTAGTTTTCGAGTAAAAAACGGGTCTATCTTCTCTTTTTCGGGTCAAAAACAGGTCTATCTCCTCTTATTCGAGTCAAAATCAGGTTTTTGGGTCAAAATCGGGTCATTTTCGGGTCAAAGGTTTAACCCGAACCCGACCCGATTTTTGAAACGGGTCGAAATGTTGAACCCGAACCCGACCCGTTTCGGGTTCGGGTTGACCCGAACCCGAAATTTTCGTGGTGGGTTCGAGTCGGATTTTCGGGTCGTGTCAAATATTGACACCCCTAGATAAACCCCTTAGACTAGAATAAAACTTGCTATATGATTTAGAATGGAGGCCTTTGTGTTAGAATCTTCAATGATCTTATTAAAGTTATGCATTTGATATTATGGTGCTGGTTTAGATTATATCAATATTTTTGTGTTAATTTTATTTTATTGAGGTACTATCATTTTAAAAATAATTTTCTTGCTAATAAAAAAATTACTATTTCAGACATCTTGAATATGTACAACAACAATAACAACAACATCAAGCCTTTATCCCACTACGTGGGGTCGGCTACATGAATTCTTTTTCTCCATTGTGTCCTATTAAAAGTCAAATTCTCATTTAAATCTAATAAAGAAAGGTCATTCCTAATATTCTATAACCAAGTTTTTTTAGGTCTACCCATACTTTTCTTAACATAAGTCAAATCTAATACATCTACTCTCCTAGCCGGGTCATCGGAAGGGCGTCGTTTTATGTGACCAAACCATCTAAGACGACTCTCTCTAATCTTATCTTCTATTGGAGCTACTCCAACCTTTTCACGTATATGCTCATTTCGTATCCTATCTCTAAGGGTAAAGCCACTCATCCACCTGAGCATCCTCATCTCTGCCACACTTAACTTAATATTATGCTTCTCTTTTAATGGCCAACATTAAAAGAGAATATGTACAATAAATTTTTTTTTTATATGTACAATAAAAATTGAGGATGAAATTTTCATCTATTAGGGTATGGCTAAATGAGAAATCTCATTTTTATATCTATAGATGGATTGACCCCTTCAAAAATTTTAAAGTGAATTCGTACACACTTCACATACGTAATACTTGAATCTAAAATCTCTTAGTTGATAATTTTCCTTTTTAAATGTTAGTCTTAATTTGTGTCAGAAAATAATACTTACATCTTAATTTTTTAAATTATATATAATTAGATATTGATTGTAATTGAAAGCTAAACAATTTTTTTTTTCTTAAAAACAGTGCAACAAATATATATTCATTATAATAATTAGTAAATAGTTGTCGTGCCTTATCCACATAGCTATTCTGATTAGCAATTCATATATAATTACAATAAAAAATAAATATACTTATAAATCTTGTATAACTATAAGAAAAAAAAAAATACACATGATTACATGAAGCCTGATCACTACGAACGAAGAGAAATTAGAACCATTGACCAAGGATTCCATTCCTTTTGCTGCTTGAATTAGGTCACTCCGGAACTGGATTTCTGCAGAAAGCTAGATGAGAGAGTCTGATGAGACGTGAAGAGGAATTGAATTCTCGACAGTAGAAGAAGTGGGGCTGAGATGGCAGCGACGGTTTGTGGGGCAGCCACGTCCGCCGAAGCGAATATGACGGCCCTAAATTGTATCAGTATCTCGGATCCTGACATCCAGAAATCCGTTTCCCTCCTCAAGCAGGTCGGTTTTCCCTCGAATTTCTTTGTAGTTGTCCCGTTTCTGAAATTTTGTATTTTAGGGTTTCTTTTATTATTATGTAGGGCTTTTGATTCTTTTTTTTTTTCTGAAATTGATTACGTTATGGCGTTGTTTAATTAGTGTAATATCTGTCTGATAGTTGCGGGTATAGTTAGCAAATGTTTTAAAAGTATCTATAATTGTATTGTTTTACTGTCGATGTGACTGGACTTCAATGTTCATAGCCATCCTATTAGGGAAAAAATGGGATCTTTATAGTTGATCAAATTTTATGTGTCTTAATATAACTGGATTAATTTTGAGATGAGTGTACTATAAATTCTGAATTTTCTTTATGTATTACACTCAGCCAAAACTAATTAGATCCAGCATGGCTAAATTTTAGTCAAGTTATTATGGCCCAAAATTTTTTATTATTCCTTACAAATAAGTTATTACAAGTACTTGTTTTATAATTCTTTCTAAAAGCCAAAAACAGTTGGAGAAATAAATAGTCGAAAGAAAAAAAAAAATCTAATGTTAGATATGATATTGTTACTATATTTGTCTCTTTTATATATCAGTGAGCTGTATTCTGGTGATGCTAACAGCACTATGTTTTCTTTACTTTTGCAGGCTTGCCTAGATTCTGGATTTTTCTATGTAATTAATCATGGTATTAGCGAGGAATTCATGAATGAAGTTTTCTTCCGAAGTAGAAAGTTTTTTGATCTACCTTTACATAAAAAAATGGAGCTGCTTCGTAATGAAAAGCATCGAGGTTATACACCCACACTAGATGAGACTTTGGATCCTGAAAATCAAGTGCACGGTTTGTTTCCAATCTTATTGCTTTTGCGTAGTCACCTATAAATGTTACAAATCACAATTGCGAATAATTTAGTTCATGCGTTTGATTTCAAAATTAATTCTCAATAAAAGAAAGAAATAATTTAAAAAGCTATACTAATGATCTCTCTCATGAACATGATTTAAATGGTCTCCATTTATTCCACCATATTTGACCACCCCCTCTGTTTTGTCCTAATTTTGAATTTGTGTTCTAATATATATTTTTAATATCTAAAAATTTTGATTGGGAGGAAAAATACCTCATCCAAGTATTTTTTTGGGGACATTTTGGCCAATTAAGGAAAACTCATACACACACATCACATACGCAAGACTTGAACTTAAGACATCTGGGTTGGTTTCCAAAGCTCTCAACCAACAGACCAAGATGAGCTCCGTTCATCCAAGTATTTAACATCTTAAAATTTTTGGATGAGGTGTTATTCTCTTGGCCCATTTTCCTTTACATTTTCTCTCTCCTTTATTTACTTTATCATGTATTTTGTAAATATGCATGTAGTCTTAAATGTAAATATGAGGAATTTTAAAGTCAAATATGTCAAGAAAAAAATTATTTGAAAAGATTCCAATGGTACCTTTTCAAATTCCAATATCATTTTACTTGGAAGAAAAAAAATTAATATCATTTTCTTAAAAATAATTTAGCAATAGAAGAGGGAAAAAGTTATTGGATGAGATATCATTCTCATGGTCCATTCTTCTTTACATTTCCTCTCTTTTCTTAATTTCTTTATTATGGAGTATATGGATATGCATGAAGTCATAAATGCAAATATGAGGAATTTTAAAATCAAATATGTCAAAAAGGCAAAAACAAAATGATTTGACAAGATTCTAATAATTGCCTTTTCAAATTCCAAGATCATATGACTTGAAAGAAAAATAATTCCAATATCATTTTCTTAAAAATAATTTAAACAAAAGAGGGAAATATCTCATCTAAGAATTTTAAAATTTTATAGTCTTTGATAAAATACCTTCCCTCTTTTTCTAAAATTTTTTATTTTAAAAATAGGTGATAACACGTGTTCAAAATAGAACCTTCTTATAGCAAATCCACTTGTCACACTCTCTCGTCTGCTTTGTTATATTTCTATATAGATATAAATTTCATATTGGCTGCTTTTGTTGCAATAGAATTTAAAGGTAATTGGATTTATCTAGAATTCTAAACAATGTGAAAAAAATGTTTTTTTTTTTCCATTAACAACTCCCTTTTCAACTCTGCTGAGAAAAAAATATGAAGAAAAATAAAGGGTCATTGTTAAGACTCACATGTCTCTACCTCATTAGAGATAACTCAAATTCTCTTCAACAAAATAATGATGATTTTTTTTTTCCGCTCTGTTTCTTCGAAACCAAACAAATGGGTGAAAAAAAATTTCAATTTTAATTCCTTCAAAGTTTCCATTTTGATTTCCTCTCTTTCAATTCTTTCAGACCAAACCGATTCTATATCTCTTAACCAAAGAAAAGGAGAAAATGGTGACTATAAAAAGGGAATGTTCCTTATAATTTCAATCTATTTGGTGTATGACAAGAAGTTACTAAGGTAAAAAAAAAAAAAAATAGCGTTCTTCATAAAACTAGCTAGAGTCAAGGGAGGTACTTTCCTATGCCATTTTTCTAAGGCACTATCATGTTGCTATTAAGGCACTCTTCTTGTCATCTATTTAGGTAATTCCATTTTTCGATTCTTGAAAATTGTGGGTTTGAAAATTCGGCCCCGCCCTCTGCCCGCGACTGTTTTGTTTTTTCTTCGGCGAGGGGAGTTTTAACGAAATTAAATTTTGGGGTAAATTTTGGAAGGCAGATGAGTTTGTAGATAAGGCACTACTCAGAGATTTTGCCCTCATTTTGTAAGGACTTTATGATCTGAGTTCTGGTTTCCTATAGGCGCAAGCCCCTATAGTTAATTACCCCTCCCGATCACGAGAGAGAACTTTCGATTATGGCTAGTCGTCAATCAAATACGTAGATAATACATGTTATCTGGCATATAGTAGCAACAATGAGCTTTGGATATAGTTGGAGAATTTGAAGGGTTTGAAGATTTGATATTTAAAATAAAAATTTCACCATCTTACACTTAAAGCGGATGGTGGGGGAATGGATGATGGATCCGATCAAGATCCCATGGTTCCGTCGTCCTGGGTCATCGTGGTCCTTGGTCTACTTAGTCAAAGGAGGTAGTCGACCCAACCTGACAGAAGGATCCTTATCGGCAGCCATGGGTTGCTTCGTCCAAGGGTACCTTATAGACCTAGGTTATATGTTTGTCTAAGGGGATAAATTTGAATCCACCTTAGCTAACATGGGGCTTTGTGCCCTATCAATCATATCCTATTGATTCATATCGCAAGGATTTGATGCCAATAAGGATTGTATTGGCTCGATCTGGCTATAACCAGTATTTGTGGTGCCATTTGGCGGCAAAACCACTCGGTTTAGAGGGCCCCGGGTTATAACCGTTTATCATGCGGTGCCGTTTGACGACAAAACCGCCGGTTAGAGGACACGTACCACATCATTAATGGCAGGAGATTGTTTGAGAATGGATCCTAGTGATATTTTCAACTAGACATTTGACTCTTTGTGAGATTATGTAGTTTTCATTTTGTCCACCCGGGCAAACTGTTGCGGAGGGTGGGTGGATTTTTTGCTTTAAGTGGATTGATGGTTTATTTTCAATTTTAAATATTTTTGGAGTTTTTGGATAGTTTTTGGATTTTTGGAAGATTTTATAATTTTTTGGTTTTTTGTGGGTATTTGGGATAGCATTTGAAAATATTTGTAAACCCCTCCGGTTAAGATCTTTGCTCAACATGGCCATCATCAGGGTGAAGGAGGTTATTTCTATTTGATTGAACCTTGTCAACCTTATCAACTTGTCGATAAGGGATCAGGTTTCATAGGTTTTGTGCCCTTGTTTGTGAATTTTCTTTGTTAAAGACCTTGAAGGCTTGATATGAATGTATAAAATAAATATTCCGGTCAATTTTGTGACCGTATATTTATTTAATGATTTGAACCCTGTCTACTCCTATTTTCCTACTCAGGAGGATCGGGTTTCGTAGGCTTCATACTTTTATTTTTAGTGAATTCTCTTGCTTATAGGCCTTGAAGGCCTAATATTCATATATTAAAACAAATACATCGGTTGCCACAACCGTGTATTTTTTTGATGGTTCGAACCTTGTCGACTCCTATTGATCTGCATAGGAGGATTATGTTCGAATCTGAATTCACTTGTTGACCTGCGCAGCATCCCTAAACGTCACGTGTATACCAGTAACACGCTCGTCGGGGCCCATACTTGTGTTTGAGGGCATTTTATAATTAGATCCTATCAACTCCTTTTATCTACTTAGAATGATGGGTTCAAATTTAATAACCTGTGCAACATCCCTAGACGTCACGTGTGTACCAATAACATGCTCGCCGGGGCCCATGCGGGTTTTGTGTTTGTATTTATTCCTTGTGTACCTATGTGTATACAAACTACGGTGCATGTGCAAGGGTATTCTGCAAATATTTGTAAACGCCTTCTGCCCGCTTGCATGGATGTTGAGGGTCCGGTGGCGTTATGGTCTTGATGTTATGAGGCATCTCATCTTGATGTTGACTCCCCTTTTCTCATTCACCTGGGAGGGTTCTTTTGGACTTTGAAATCAATGACTGCTGTCTTGAAAAGATCCCCTTTCAAGATCTTTAGTGTAGTAGAGTTGCTATTTTCAGTGTTTGTGGACACCATAACTATTTTCTTTTTAAGTATAAGACTAAGAAGAGACTTTGCAACACCAGTTAGTTTAGTTTTAATTTGTTCAAACCTCTCTTCCATTATGCCAGGAGGTGTCCCTTTTCGTACATCGGGTTGCCCTTATACCCGACGTACTTGAAGATCTTAATCACCGTTGTCGTAGGTGATATCCGTACTTGTATCCATAGTGGTTCGTTGTACTTACGATACTCTCAATGTTGTTATCCACAAGTGACTCGTATTCATTTGCAGGGACTCGTTGTATCCACTACGACCTCTTGGAAGTGTTTGTAGAAGAGCCATTATTTCTGCATCATATTCACCTTTCACCATTCTCATGTGGTTTTGATGTACTTGCTTGCAAGGACGAATCTTTTAATATCAATTGACAATATTGCCATCTCAATCTACAAGCAACATTGCTTGTGCTTCGAGTTCTTCGTTGTTGCATATAGAAGACATTTATATTCTTTGCAGTGGATTGGTATTATTTGGACTTGATTGAATATCATTACTCATATGCATTGAAATGATTCTTGCACATATCTTGGCCCACCTTAATGCATGTGGGAGATACTCATATATTTTATTGTTAATTGTTATTCTTGCAAATGTGGCGCATTTGACCTTGTAAGGACTTGTATGTGCTTCAAAATGTGTTGCATTGTACATGTTTATAAGAAGTTTTGTAGCTTTGGTTGCATATTCCAAATCACTCAGGCTTCCTTGATCATCTCTCGCATGCATTGAGGATTCTATCTCCCTCTTGAAGCTTGTACGATGACACCGGATGTAGAGATATTATTGCGTTTGTCACTGATCTTTGCCAACAAGATTAACATTATCTCATTGCCAAATTACAATTTTATCTTAGGCATTTAAGTTATGCTTCATACCTTTCATTTGATGTTCAAACCATAGTCCAATTCAACATCTAGGTTCATTTCAAGTTTGAGTTCTTCATGTCCAAAGTCTTGTTCATCTTGTTTGATATCCAAATCAAATGCAAGACCGAGTCCCTGATTGTTCTTGAAAGTTCAGGCTCTTTGTTGTTTATGTCAAGTTTGAATCTAGCTTGAGTTTAATATACAAGTTCAAGTGCGAGTTTAGGGTCTTTTGAAGTCCTTACAAGTTCAATTTCACTTGATATGAATTTAGTTCCAGTTTGATCTTATTTTATTTGGTTTTGACCTTTAGAAATCATTCAAATTTTGTTCAGGTTTAGGTCAACAAGCCCACTATTCATTTGAGTCCAAGTTCTATACTTTCAGTTCAAGTACGAGTCATCTGTTGTCCTTTGTATTGCTGCTCAAATGATGTCTTTAAATTGTTCAAGTCTTGTGTACTTCAGTGAAAATTTCGGCAGCACCCCGGCATATCCCCCATTTGGGTGAAAATAGGGGAGCTGAGCCTTCCCACCACGCTACTCGAGCGTGGATGGTAGGTGTCCTCAGACATCGCGGCCGTACATTTTTTCATCCCACCACACCACCCTACAAGAGCGTCTATGGGGCCTTCAACAGTACCCGTACGAGAACACCAGTGGCTCTCCCCATCATGCAATAAAAGCGTGTATAGGGCTTACCCACCTCGCCATATGTGTCGCATCGGGTTCCCTCCTATCGTGCTACAAGAGCACGTATAAGTGGCTCTCCGGTCCGCCACAAACGTCGAGAATGAGATTTGGGAGATTATACCTTGCGTAGCAGTCGTTGGCACCGATGTCGAGGTCGAGGAAAGTCCCCACCACGTACAAGAGCGTGTATAGGGCTTACCCCCCTCGTCGCACCTTTCGCACTGGATTTCCCCCCACCGTGCTACAAGAGCACGTATAGGGAATCCACCGGCGCGTCAAGTGCGTCGAGGGCGAGGTTTAAGTCAGAAATTTATACCTTGGGGAAGTCTTCGATGACTGTCAGCTTGAGGATCGAGGTAAGGGAGAAGGGATAATTTTTTTATTATGAATTGATTTAATAGTTAATATTAATTAATTATAATTAACATTAATTAATTATAATTAATATTAATTAATTATATTTACTTTTAATTAATTTAATTATTAACTATAATCATTATAGTTAATTGATATAATTAATTATAATTGATTAATATCAATTAACTTTAATTAATTATAATTAATAAATAATAATTAACTATAATTAAAAGAAGTATTAATTAATTAAAATTAACTTTAATCAAAATTAATTATAATTAATTAGAATTAATTATAATTATTTAATTAAAATTAATTATTAATTAGTTATAATAAATATAGTTAATTAAAATAATTACAATCAAACTAATTATAATTAATTTAGATTAACCCTAATTAAACCTAATCAAGTCATTAATCCTCCTCTCCTTCAACTTCTCTGGTTCGGCACATTCACAGAATTCGGCCGAAAAGTGCGTGAAGGGTAGAAAGTTAACTTCACACACAGTGAGCTCCCGTTGTTGTTTCCGCCAAAATGTTGAAACTTCTGGTCCTACAGGAGGGAAAACCGTCAGGGGAGCAAGGTTGGACAAGCTTCAGCGAGCTCCCGTTCTTGTTTCCGATCCGAGTGGGAAGGGAAAGTCGTCGAGCAAGCAGGGTTGAACAGCAGGAGCGGGCCGAAGAAGCGCACGAAGGGAGAAGGTGACCTTCACTGCGAGCGAGCTCCCTTGTTGCTTCCGATCAAAATATCGTAACTTCCGATCCGTCCATGAAAGTCGAGGAAGAAGCGAAGTCGAACAACGTCAAAGGGGCTGAAGGAGTGAAATCGAGCAGCCTTGAACACTTTGTTCACTTCGCTATTTAACGACAAGTGAGGTAGGACGGCGCATTCAAAGCGAACGTGGGATTGGCGGTGTTGGTCATGCAGAGAGCGTCCGAACTCGTGCAGATAACGGGATTTCGGGGATCTGTTGTGGCAAGCGATGTGCATAGGTCCAGCATTAGGTACGCGATTTCATCATCATTTTTTTATATATATTTTTTTGTTTGGTATACAGTTATGGGTCAACAAAAATTCAACTTTAGATGTTTCCCATAGTATCCTCCCCTTGATCCATAATTAACTTATCTAATTTGATGGTGCTTGAATCATTTCCTTATGTTGCAATAGTTTTATTTATTGTTTGAACTTTGAATGGTAAAATGTGTTATTCTTGGATATTTTAGGTGACTTCAAAGAAGGATATTACATTGGTGTTGAAGTACCTGAAGATGATCCTGATATAGAAAAACCGTTTTATGGTCCAAATCAGTGGCCTTCAGAAGGTAAAGTACTAGTTCAGAAGGTACAATATAGAGCATGTTCCCTAGGTTTTCTATGTAGGAGACAATTTCTTAATTTTTCCCTCATAGTTTATTGACTTTATTTTGCTTACTTTTGAAAGTAAATGTCCAAAATTTATCCACTAGAGATCAGTAAATTAATTATAAAGACTTAACAGAATATTTCATCATAGTATTACTCTCTATCGAATCTATTTTGGTGCCCATGTTTTCTAAATATTAATTGACGGTCAAAGTGAATTTGAAAGTTCTGTACATCCCTTTTAATCAGAAAACTTCGGCATTACTATATGAGATATTGATATTGTTAAGTCATTGCATCCATAAATTGGTTTGCTCATCAGAATCCCTTAATTTCTATGTAGATGTCTCTGCAATTCCGATAATCTGTTGATTACTGTCTTTTTTCTAAATTAAACTTTACTATAATTTTTTGAATTTACTTGAGCTTGTGGACCTGTGGTTTATCTACATGATCGCTATGCATTTTCTTACAAATGGAACTTTGTGATTGCAAGTACCATTGAGTTCAAATTTTTTTTTCAGCTAGATTAAATTTTCTAAAAATTTCCCTTCTTTTTTTTGTGTATTCTGAAGATATTTTACCTGGTTGGAGGCAGATTATGGAGCAGTACCAAAAAGAGGCCTTGTAATGTATCTTTTACCTTTTACTGCTATATTTTGTTTTTGGTAGACTTACCAACCAAATTAGTATTAATCTTTAAAGCTATATTTAGCAATTTTTTTAGGTGCATGATAGACTGCTACCCATTAAGCTTATAGCAGTTTCCTTTAGTGCATTAAGATCAATATGCCTTGCCATTCTTTTGGGATTCAGATTTTATTTCAGTTCTCCCTAACTCTGTTTTCAAGATCTTTCTAACCTTTCTCTGGAAATAACCTCTTGTAATTTCCTATATTATTGCTCTCAATAAATCTATCTTTGAGGTTTTACTTGATTGAACAATTGATGAAGGTTGCTTAAGGACCTTGAATTTTTAATGCATATCCGATATGGGTTGTTCAAAATCAATCATAACCTCGCAAGCCACAAACATATAATCTTAATAATTACTCGTTACTTGAGATGAAAATAGAAAACATATTATTACGGCTATAGGCCAATGGGGGTTGGACAGGCCAACCCAGCAGGTAGTGGAGGGGGAGAACCTGCAACAAATTTCAGAGAGATTTCGGTCTCCCATGTGGGCCCAGCAAAACAATAATTTATTATGATAGGAGGGGAATGAAGGAGGGAGTTAGTTAGAAAAAGATCTATTTGAATTCAAATAGGAGAGGGAAATTTATAAGGAAGGGGGTTGATTTGGAGGAGATTAATTAGGAGATGTTTCCTAATTAAAAGGGGCTGATTTGGAGTAAGAGATGTTTTCTAATTGAAGAAGGCAGATTTGTGGGTTGATTTGGAGGAGATTAATTAGGAGATGTTTACTAATTAAAGAGGGTTGATTTGGGGGATGAATTGGAGGAGATTAATTATGAGATATTTCCTAATTAAAGGGGCTTATTTGGGGGCTGATTTGGAGTAGATTAATTAGGAGATGTTTACTAATTGAAGAGGGCTGATTTGGGGGTTGAATTAGATGAGACTATTTCTTAATTGAAGAGGGTGCGGGCTCCGAAAATTCGGCCCCGGTCTCCGCCTGCTGTTTTTTCTTCAGGGGAGTTTTAACAGAATAAGTTTCGGGGTAAATTTTGGAAAGGCAGATGGGCTTGTAGATAAGACACTACCCAGATTTCTTCCTCATTTTGCGAGGACTTTATGATCTGAGTTCTGGTTTCCTATAGGCGCAGACACCTATATTTAATTACCTCTCCTGATAATGAGAGAGAATTTTTGATTAATGCTAGTCGTCAATCAAATATGTTATATTCATTGATATGTAGTATCAGACGTATAGTAGTAGCATTGAGAATATGTATTTGAAAAGTTTGGATGTTTGAAAATTTGGGTTAAGATATTTGAGAAGTTTGATATTTAAAACTTGAAAATTTCACTATCTTGCAGTTAAAGAGGACAAATTTGAGGAGGCAGTCGACCTAACCTGACAGAAGGATCCTTGTCGGCAGCCATGTGTTGCTTCGTCTAAGGGGACCTTGTAGACCTAGGGTGGGTATTTGTTTAAGGGGACAAATTTGAATCCAGCTTAGCTAACAGAGGGCTTTGTGCTCTATCGATTATATCCTATTGATTCATACCTCAAGGATTTAATGCCACTAAGGAACATATTGTCTCTAGCCATAATCGGTTTTTCGTGGTGCCATTTGGCGGTAAAACCACTCAGTTCAGAGGGCCCTTGGTCACCGTTTATCCTACGGTGCCATTGGGCATCAAAATTGCCGGTTAGAAGATATGTACCACGTCCTTATTAGCAGGAGATTATTTGAGAATGAATCCTAGTGATATTTTCGACTAGGCATTTGTTCTATGTGAGCTGAAGTTGTTTTCAAAATTTTCACCTCGGCAAACTATTGCGGATGGTGGATGAATGTTTTTTTAAGTGGTTTGATGGATTATATTTTCAGTTTTAAATATTTTAGACTTGGAGGATTTTAGAATTTTGGACTTTTGGACATTTGGGCGACATTTGAAATATTTAAAATTAACCCCTCCGATTGAGATCTACATTCAAATTGGTCCTCATCAAGGTGAATGATGTCATTTGAAAATATTTATATTTTGTAGAAGTTTGAGATTATTTGAAGTGGTTGGAGTTAACCCCTCCGGTTAAGATTTGCATTCAATATGAACATCATCGGGGTGACTTTGTGGTTACTTTCATTGACTAAACCTTGTCGACCCAATTAACTTGCCCATAGGGGATTGGGTTCGTCGGCATTGTGACTTTGTTAATGAATTTTCTTGGTTGAAGGCCTTATATGAATGTATAAAATAGATATTCTGGTCGACACACTGACCGTATATCCGTTTGATAATTCGAGCCGTGTCGACTCCTATCTATCCATATAGAAGGATCAGGCTAGAACTACATTCATTTATTGACTCGCGGAGTATCTCTAGATGTCACATGTGTACCCATAATACGCTCGCCGGGGCCCATGCGGTTGTTTGGGGGCATTTTTATAATTATTTGTTGAACCTTGTCGACTCCTATTTATCTGCTTAGGAGGATCAGGTTTGAATTTATTGACCCGCGTAGCATCTCCAGACGTGACGTGTGTGAAAGCATCACACTCATCGGGGCCCATGTGTGTTTTATGATTGCACTTACCCCTTTTGTGTACCTATGTGTATACAAATTACGGTGCATGTGCGGGGGCATTTTGAGATATTTGACAGATATACTATGGGTCTCCTACAATAACTTGTAGGAACCTTTGTTCATCGTAGTCCTTTTGTATTTGCCTGTGGATGGTGTGTTAGATGCACGACCATCTTTCATCAAGAAACTTGCAAGTCCCAATAATTTTATCCAACTCAATATTCAGAATTTAGTTGAACTGAGATTCACTCACTCCACCTTTAAGAATAAAGATTTGCTCCAACTTTCTCTTCCCAAAACTCGTATAGGAATTAGTGGGCAACTTCCTTGATTATGCCACCATCATCATTTTATGCTGTTGGCCTAAATAAAGAATCAATCATTTCAACCTTGGATGATTGTGCCCTTGCTGACGTCGAGATATTCATTCCTAAGATGGTTGTTGCAGCCCTTGATGTAGTTGGAGTAGCGGGTGTACTTTCTGCTTGTAGTTGTGAGTTTAGATCACCAAGTTTGCATTGATCTTTAACAACACATTTGCCAAATATTGATCATTAACTCCGATAGTTGCAATATAATGTATTGATGCTCACTTGAATGCGTTCCGATGTGTCACATCGTTGTTTTCAGTGTATGTCAGATCTTTCTAGTTTCAATTGACATATTAGCTGTGGTATAGATCTCTTGTAATGTCACTGAACCCTTCTGCTTGTAGAAAATTGATGTGCTTGATTGGTGGATTGTCACTGCTAATTGCGTGTCTTCTAGCGTTCGTAAGAATTGCTATGTATAGTTGCAAGATAGTTGACGTTGACCAAAAGAGCTAATTTGTTTTTGCATTCATCATATGCGATCTTCTTTATGTTGTAGAAGTTCGATGCGGTGCTCCATATCTCACATATTCAAGAGCCAGATGATACTAATTGCCCATTTAGCTTTGTGGAGAATCAACACATTTGGTTAGAGTTGGATTGTCGTCAAATCATCATGGTTTTGTTCCTCAAAATTGTATTCTTCATTATTATATGTCTTTCATAAGTGTATCTTCTGCTTCAATTGACTCCATTCATCTTGCAAGCATGGATAGTTTGAATCTAGCTCATGGATGGTTTAAGGGTCTTATAGTATTACTAGCAATCAACATCACAACAATCTTCATTGAAGAGACTTTGAATCAACATTGGCAATCAAGTTGGATTTTTGTCACCTTACTTTTATCACTTGTAGGTGAGATATGCTCAACTTTCTCACGCACATTCATTCGTGTCTCATTTGATTCATTAGCTTTAACAGCCCTGAAAGGTTTGATGTTATTATTTACAAATCAGCTTAATTTCATTATTTAGGAGCGAGGAGTTAGGGATTTCGTTATGAGTTTCATGTTTACAATTGTCCATTGATATTCATTTGAGTTCTTTAAATCCTCAGTTGTAAATTATATGACTGCAAACTGTCAATGTTCAATTTTCCTTGAAATCACAAGTTATGCTCCATATGGTCTTTTTCATTCAAGTCATCTATTGTTCAAAAGTCCATAAGTTTGATGTGCAAGTCCAAGTCTCAATTCAGATCGTCGTCATTTGATTCAAGTTCAATTAATGTTCAAATTGAGTTAGGTTCAGCTTCATTTAATCTTAATGTCATTATTTAGTGTTCACTTGAGTCCAATTCAAGGTTCTTTGCATCATTCTTTTGAGTCCAAATAAGGTTTCCTGTTTGTCCAACTTTTGTGCATCTTTAGATGGAATTTCGGCAGTTTCCCGGTGTCTCCCTCGTTTAGGAGAAATTTCAAGAGTTTGAGCCTCCCGCCACGCTAGAGAAAAGCATGCACGGGTAGTGTCGGATGACACCAATGCCAAAAGTCTTCGTCCCCCACCATGCCAGAGAAAGACATGCATAAATCTTCGGGCTCATGTTTGAAATGCACAGTTTTATATTTGTCCCCGCCTCGTCGTAGGCGTCGCACCAGATTCCCTTCAAACCATGCTAGAAAAAGCATGCATGGGTGATTTTCCGGTGCGCTGCTAACGCCAAAAATAGGGTTTTACCCACCTCGCCGTAGGCATCGAACCGGGTTCCCTTCCCACCACGCTAGAGAAAAACGTGCATGGGTTGGTTGTAGGTCTCAGTTTGGAGGTGAAGACAGTCAGTATAGGTGAAAGGTTCGGGTTCAGTGCTTATAGTTTGCAGCTCTATGAGGTCAGATGTCTTGGGATCGTGTGAGGTCGGAGGCCCTAGATGTTCAGATGGAGGAGGAAAGGCGGGCTAGGGCTCGGCTAGGTAGGGAGAATGTCTCTCTCTCTCTCTCTCTCTCTCTCTCTCTCTCTCTCTCTCTCTCTCTCTCTCTCTCTCTCTCTCTCGCTCTCTCTCTCTCTCGCTCTCTGTGGATCGATGGTTTGGGGAATGA